CGAACGACCCTTTCACAGGGGTCGCCCGATTGGTAACAGTAGCAAAATGACACTGATGAAGTAGCAACGAAAATAGTTTTATAGTTGGGGGGTCACCACCACATGAGGACCTGTATGAAAGGGTCGCAGCCTGAAGGTGGAGAACCACTGCTGTAGGACAAGGAAGAACTGCCCCCGTGCATTTCTGAAAGTGTTTCACGAGAGCAGGCAGCCTCATCTCTCTCCTTCAAAGTGACTAGTGGCTTCCAACTCCCATCCCTGCCAGGAGCAGTGCAAATGTGAACCGCCCCACCCCCCGGGCAGGGCGCCTCCTGTTCTAGAGCCCGGGCTTGTTGCAGGCCCCCTGTGTGGAGGTTTGGTGCTAGGTGCCCTCCGCAGATTGTGACTCGTGGTGTCCCTGTGGGACAAGTGACAACTGCCCCGTGGAGCTTCCTAGGCCAGGCCCTTCATGAAGCTGTGGTGTCAGGAGGAGTCGCAGGAGGCCCTGTGATGGCTGGAAGCCAAGAACCACTTCCTACTGAGAGCCCTCGTCAGACAGCAGGCGCCTGGTGGCACAATGTCTATGCCCAGGCTGCTGACAGAAAGGGGGGTGGTTCTAACTCACCAGTGGTTCCCGGGAAGAAAGACCTGGGTCTCGGCTCCTGGAGACACTCCTACCGACCCTGCCAGGGCATCCACTCTGACTCACAGAGCCGCCCCGGAGAGTTCTAGGCTCTGGAAAGATGGGGAGCGCCAGAAACCCTCAGGGGCAGTGCCACCCTGCCCGACAGGGTCACCGTGAGTCAGAGCGGAGTCCGTGGCAGCGATGGGTTTTAGAGCCTAGAACAAGCCAGGCCCCAATAAATATGCCGCTCTTGGCGGAATACAGGAAGGCGGACTTCAGGTGGAAGGAGAGCAAGGTGCTGCTCTGAACATCTGCGGAAGGCTTGGGGGCGGCTCTCCTTTGCATGTGTGCCGTGGGAGAGACGCACGAAGTGGGTGGGTTTCCATGGCCTGGTGTTTTGTCCCTACCCTTGGCTTTCCCATGGGGATGTCATCTCCGTATTAACTGCAGTGTATTTATTAACTGCAGCCCCCTAATGGGGACAAGAGAATACCCTTGGGGGCCTGCTAGCTGCGCTGACCAGCCTGCCCCAGAGGCTCTGCAAGGCCGCTGTCTTTCAGAGAGCAGATCACTAGCTCTCTCCCATAGAGCCGCTGGGTGGCTTCACACTGCCCACCCTTGGATAGCGGCAGAAGACTTGGCCATCGCACCTCCAGGACCAACCCTCCGTGTGCCAGTTGGCAGGTTTAAGAACCACCGCTACCTTAATAGGAAGGCACAGCCGATGGTGACCACGGGCCTGGAACGCATAGCTTGTAAATGGCCTCGTTAAGGCTCGTCTCCAGCTGGGCTACCCACATTCAAATGGTGTGAGGTCCTGGGCGCTCCGCTTGCTCGGATGAGCCCACTTACTGGGCCAGAAAGAATTACCTTTATGGCTGTGTTTCCCTCGAAGTCAGTCGTATTTCTCCCTTAATGGTCCCGACAGAAAAGGCCGTGGCTTAGTTCCCCTCGATGGCATAAAAGGGAAGGAGAGGGCGGCGGGGTGTCTGGGAAGAAGAAAGCTCCCGTGCAGTTGGTGAGCACCTTTACCAGAGCGAGATATTAACTCTTTCCTCCGGCTCCATACGTGTCTTGTGACTTTCCTTTCTTTACTGCTGTGTGGTCCGAGGAGTCCCCTCCGACGCATCGTGTCCGGTGAGCAGCAGAAGGAAATGCCGCCCGGTCCCGCAACACCCTCCCAAGCCCTCTTATGCTGGAGCGAGCCCACTGTTGCAGCCCCCATGTCAGCCCCTCTCCTTGAGGGTCTTTCTCTTTTTCGCCTCCCCTCTACTTCATGGCGCATGGCGTCCTTCTGCAGAGACTGGCCTCTCCTGACAGCGTGTCCACAGTATGTGAGCCAAGTCTCACCATCCTTCCCCTGAGGAGCACGCTGGCACTTCTTCCAGGAAGAGCTGTGTGTCCTTTGGGCAGTCCTCCGGCTGGCGTCTTCCCCGTTCCGTGTCCGACTTTCACACACATAGCAGGCGGTGGAAAAGAACCGTGGCTTGGGTCAGGCGCACCATTCCGAACCCTTTAGAGTTTGTTTTCAGCAGATTTGCCACTGCAATCGTTCTTCAGGAGTGTGGCGGCTGCTGCTGTGGGCTCTGACTCCCGAGTCACGCAAAGGGACGTCCTTGACAATGGCCATCGCTTGTCTGATGACAGTCTGCTGGCCTCCTTGTGCGGATGCGGTTTTCTTCGCCCGACTCAGAATAGGCTCACGATGAGCCCAAGTCAACTCGAGGACTGTGAGAGTGAGACCTAACACTGAGGTGTGACCCAGACTGAAGTCTGCCATGTTGGCGCTTGATCAGCAGGCCGAGGAGTCCTACTCCCTTTCAGCAAGCCAAGTCGTGTCGTCTGCACGTCAAAGGTTGTTAATAAGCCTCCTCCTTCATCGGCCTGCCTCTCTGATGTCTTGCTGTGCACACAGACTGAATGAATATAGTGAGGGTCTACCACCATTTCCCGTTTAAAACCATGTCCGACCCGCTCTCTTGGATAGATAAGTGTAGTTCTTTAATAATAGCTATACGCACATATAAATGTTATTA